TCGACCACTTGCACTTAAAGATCACTACACTAGGCCTCCACGCCCTTGCTGACTTCAAGATCCTCTTCCTTGCTCCTCAACGTCCCCTCGAGGACGCCGCATTTCTCAATGGACTTCACCAGCTCATCATCTATCTCCTTCAACTCGTCCCGAAAGGTCTGCATGTATCTACCCTCCTCGAGCCGTCGACGAAATACCCGGTACTTGCGGCGATACTGAAGGTACTTACTTTTCAGCCTTATGAAAAATTCCCTACGACTCTCCTCCCTTCGGGCACTCTCGATCTCCAAGATCACCGTCTGCGATAAGAAAAATAAAAGGAGTGAGTTAGAAGCGAAGACGCCCCGAAAAATAAAGGTAAAAAGAAGAAAAGAGTAAAACCTTGAACACTTAATCTAAGGGAAAGACTAGCGATGCTCCTCGACAGAGTATCGTCATCCAACTCTTTAAGGGTTTTACCCTCTATCTCGGAACAACGGAGGCCGTGTCTAGGGACTACGTTCTTCGTATTTTTCAGCAAATCACGATCCATAGGGATCGCAATGGTCCTTGTTGACCCCTCCAACATTACCTCAAGTTGGGTAAACCCTTCCTCCATCATCTTCAGGTCGCCAACGTCAATTTCTGAACCCGTCTCATAGCCTTCTTCAGCAACGCCTTTTTCTCCCTTATCGACCGGTAAGGAAGTAGCATCATCTGGACGCAAAGTCGACGGCTCCTCTTGCCGCGAAGCATCAAAGACTCCAGTAGCTGGCCCTTCAGCCTCCTATATCACAGAAGGAAGAGGCGTACCTACATCGGCCTCCGCCAACCTCAGAATTTCAGACAACGGTTCGGCCTTGTCTCCGATGATAATGGTCATCGTCTCTCTTAACGTAAAATCACCTTCCGTTACGTTGACAGCCCAACCGACCCCGTTACTTGTATCTACAAACCTGCTCTTGCGAGGCATCAAATCTTCCTCGCCATTGGCTCCTCCTCGGCTTCGTCTATAAGACGATATAGTGAAGACGCTAAAGGAACGGGATAAGACGCACCAACAGGAGGGACTGAGGCACGAGCGATGGCAACAACGGTCGAAGGAGGAACCGGGGCACGAGCAAAGAGGACATAGTCGAGGAGGGGGCGAAAGCCGAGGCCTTTGTATTCTTCCTCTTTCGCAACGCGGGGGCAGGATCTTTCGACTTCTTCTAGGACCCCCTGGCTGAAATTAAGCAGAATACAAAGAAAAAAGAAAGTCAGCCAAAACGAACACAAAAAGGAAAGCAACTAAGAAGCCAACGATAAAAATGACTTACCGGTCAAGGGAAGATGGGGGCCAAATCTTTTGAAGAAGCCCGGCCACTCGAGTATCCCCACAATGTAAGGAAGAAGCCATCCCACCCAGTCGGAAATATCGTCAACCAAGGGAGGAGGTGAACGTGTAGCTGCACAAAAAAGGTAGAAGGTTAGAATCACAACCAAGCACGACAAGAAATTAGATACTTACAAATGAGGAAGTCGTGTACTTACGAGTACAATTCCAAGCCTCACGAAAACCATCGGCGTTGGCCACCACGTCCTCAGTTCTGACAAAGAAAAAGTTGAGCCAGAATTTGCGGTTGGCCTTATCATCCATCTTCACCACCAAACACTTACCTCCTCGGTGGCGGAGATTCAACAGCGTCCCCCTATAAAAGTTGGGGGCAAACATGTGCGTCAAATGTGGAAGTGTGAGTTCGACCACGGCGAGCTCTACAAATTTGGTGAGCATACTCATGAGTTTGTAAACGTACGGCGCGAGCTGAGCCGGGAAAACGTCGTAATAATGACAAACTCCTTTGCCAGTGGAAGAAGAGGAAGAGTGTTGCTGAAGTGGAAGGGGTAGGCGTAGAAGGCGCAATACCCAGGGCGGTGAACCTGCACCGCATCCCACCCAGCAGGGATCAACTCAATATGGTTGGGGAGGCCATATTTTGCCTTAAGCTCCATCAAATCGGCCTCCGTCGTCGCTGATTTAAAGTTTTCGGGGTCGGCTTCAGGAAATTTTGAGAAATCGAACCTGATATCAGGGTTACGGCGAACTATCTCCTCCACCGTTAGGAAGCTTCCGTCCTCGGCAGCCGCAGAAACATTCTCCGCGTGAGGGGGAAACACCATCGCTAGTGGGACCGTGTCGCTTCCCTCGCTAAACTCAAAAGGTACATTAGACATGTTTTCAACGAAAGAGAGGAAGGTATCAAACAACAGAGGATTGGAAACGATAAAGATCGCTGGAACAACGGGAAGAGATACACAACAATGGAAAAAGAAGAAGAAGATATAGGGTTTCGATGTAGGAAGTCTGTAAAGTTTGGGATTGCACCCTCACATCCCTATTTATAGGAATTCAAACGTCAGAAACGAGAAATTGCCTCATCATTACCTGGCATTGGAATAGAAGACGCATGACCAATCAGGAGTCCCACGAAAAACGAAGCGATGCATCGGGAATACACGTCATGATGACGCATGAGGTCGTGATGACATTTTGATTCATGGACAGCACAACTCCAAAATTTGCGGCTCATGAAGGGCCACGTTGCTAGCTCGCCTCAATCATCACGACCCGATTAGCTCATCCAATCATTTCTACCGCAATGAACAGAATCCGCTCATCAATCCCGCTTGAGGCCGGCCTCAATAAGCGGAGGGACTAAATGTATAGGTCATAATCTGCCCTAGAATATTTAAAATAAGATAACACTAAAGAAAGAATTTTTGAGTCGTCGTTAGTCAAGGTGGACCAGGAAGCAGCAAGACTCGTAGCCGAAGAGTCGATGTGAGTCGTGGTTGAGATGTCAATAATGGTCGAGGTCGAGCACTGTTGATGAAGCTGTAATGGCTAGCTTTTGAAATAGGATATTAAAGAGAATATTCTAGTGGATATTCTCTACACTTGTACTATTAGGGTTTATTAGGAATATATCTCATATAAATAGAAATACAGACAATGATGTGGGGTATGTGATATTCATTTGTAAGAACACACTTTGACAAAAAGATTCTCTTTCTCTTACTAGGATACAAACATCACATTTTCACTAAGATTCTTGTCGATATTATTCCATACTTTTCTACCAGATCCGAGAATAATTCGAACATTGAAGGATTTGTCTGTCACTCATCATTGTCAGAAGGGACAATCATCTAGTTCATCCTTTATTGGGGAAATCGTTCCTCCTATTTACTTAAGTGTTATTTATTGTTATTCATTGCTATTAAATGCTACATTATTACTCATGCTTTTTGGAATAGTTATTGTATATCAATATCACTATTCGACCAGATCTATCTGACGTTTATCACTTTCTCGGAAGCTACATCTAAAAATATTATTGTTAACTATATTTAACCCATAATCACATAAATTTAATTATTTGGACCAAGAGTTGTATTTTTGGGTCAAACAGTTCAGACATTATTTATTATAATTTAACAATTTTTTGTATATGAATTTTATCAGCTTATCGAAAGTACTGGATTCAAATGTTACAAGATTGCATCTACCTATGATATCTCTATGTTTAGGAAACATATGAAACTTTAAATGGATAAGGGTCAAATATAGCCCTCTACTATGAGAAAAGGATCAAGTTTATCCTCCGTTATACTTTCCGTCTAAAAATATCCTTGATGTTATACAATTAGGTCAAATATACCCCTCATCCGTTAAAGTTGTTCAAGGTGGCTGCCCAATCTCACGTGGCACTGATATTTTAGCCACGTGGCATGCCACCTCACTGCCGTAAACCCATCTTACCCCTCTCTTTTACTTCTTCTTCCGCCAATAATACCATCCTACCCCTCGATCACCACTGCTACCATTAACACCACCATGACCACTCCTAGCAGTGATTTTACTCATCATCAAAGAAAAATAACGTAAAAAAGAAAAACAAAATTGATAAGAACAGATAGCTGCATAGCCAACGATCAAGTGAAATAAAAAATCCAAATTTTACTTTGATACTCATAGGTCGAGGAGGATTTTATGCATTATCCCCTATATTCATGACTAATCATATAGCATGTGGCCACACGATTGGAAACTGAATTTTGGTTAGAGGAAAAGACATCACTGGAAAACAGTATCGGTTTCAATTCAATTTCCATTTGTATGAAAAACAAGAAGATACATGTCCATTATCAAATAGTGGCTTTCAAGTCTAGGCATATGGTGGATCAATTTCATATAGTACAAATGGGTCATTATCTGAATAGCGTTAAGAAAAAGAGTTCTTTACTTATCATCAACTCAATCTTATTCCTTTTCAATCCGTTATTTTTTTAATATTCTTTTAATTTTTTCAGCATTCTTTTATGGTCATTAGATTTTTTTACTACGGCTAAGTGAAGGTGAAGATGATAAAAATTATGGTGAGCATGGTGATGTTGATGGTGACACTAGTTGTGGTCTTGTGGAGGAGTAGGAGTTGCTAGTTCTGGAAGAAGAAGTAAAAAGATGAGTAAGATGGGTTTAGGGCAGTGAGGTGGCATGCCACGTGGGATTGGGCAGCCACCTTGGACAACTTTAACGGATGAGGGGTATATTTGGCCTAGTTGTATAACAGCAAGGGTATTTTTAGACAGAAAGTATAACGGAGGTAAACTTGATCCTTTTCTCATAGTAGAGGGGTATATTTGACCCTTATCCGAACTTTAAATATTAAACTTATTATTTCAAAAAGTTTAACTTGTAAATTTATCCCAAAAATGAAATATTTGACACTCGCACACAAGATATTGTTTTCTTAAACAATGAATATACATATAAAGAAAGATTTGCTTATTTAAGTTACCTTGATCTCTATTCGGTAGTTGCGACATAAGTTAAGCCAGTAAACGAGATACCGCAGTTTGATCCCTAGGAGGACGGCACAGTAAGAACAAAAGGTAAATACTCGAGTTAGAGGTAAAAGAAGTACGTTGTCGGATTCTCGAATTAAGTTTTTTTTTTTCTATAAATGGGAAACTGCGATTTAATAAAATTGGAGGAAAATGTAGATAAAACAATTGTTGTTGGTTGGACGGTCTCCCCGCTATAGTCCAAAAGTTCACAAAACCAGTTTACTCTTCTCTTCTCTTGGGCTTAGTTTCAAACTATCAGTCTCTCTTTCTCTCTCTATAACACACAAAGAAGAAGAAGAAGAAGAAAAGTTTATACAGAAAAAAAAATCCAAAATTTCCTACAAGCGTCGTTTCTGAAATTATAATCCTCAAAAATCAGTTATTGGGTATTTATTTTCTTGTATAAAACAAGAGTTCAGGAAGAAGAAGAAGAAGAAAAAAAAAAAAGGGGGAAAAGAAACGAGATCCCTAGAAAGCCGGCAAGTATGGCGTCAAAGGTGATGCCTTCAGCGTCAACAACGCCCAATTCGGATCGTTCTCGTTCTCGTTCTCGTTCTTGCCTACCCCAAAACCCAACTCCTTCTTCTTCCTCTTCTTCTCTACTTCACTCTGATCCTTCTAGAAACTTCGGCTCTATGAACATGGACGAACTTCTCAACAACATTTACTCCGATTCCCCCGACCCTTTTTGCTCTGCCTCTGAAACCACCGCGCCTACCCCCGCTGCCGCCGGTGATGGCCGTGATGTGGGACCCAGTAAGACTGTGGATGAGGTGTGGAGGGAAATTGTATCAGGGGGTGGGGGTGGAGGTGGAGGAGGGAGTGGTAGGGAGCCAGAGATGACTTTAGAGGATTTTCTGACCAAAGCTGGAGCGGTTACGGAGGAGGACGTTAGAGTCCCGGTGATCGCTCCGCCACCAGCCACGGCGGCGCCAGCTGCAGGAGGGTTTGTGGTGGATAACATGGGGAATTGTCAGTTTCCGATGGCCATGCAGAATGGACCCCACATGGGATTTGGAAATGGGGTTGTAGCTATTGCTGGGAGTGGGAGTGGTAGTGGTAGTGGGAGAGGGAAGAGGAGGTCAACCGTTGAGGAGTTGCCGCTGGATAAAGCTACACAGCAGAAGCAGAGACGCATGATCAAGAACAGAGAGTCTGCTGCTAGGTCTAGAGAGCGAAAGCAGGTCCCTTTTTTGCATTTAATTCCCTATTATATTTGTTTTTGGCCACTTTGGGGCAAGAATTGAGACATGCATGTATGTTTTTACTGAAATTACAGGCTTATACTGTGGAATTGGAGTCTTTGGTTACTCAATTGGAGGAGGAAAATGCAAGGCTTTTGAAAGAAGAGGTTAGTTTATTAAGATCTTCTAGAATGGGATAATTATCTTGTTTTTTCACATACTACATAACCGAAAGTTTTATTCTTTTTCATTTGAATCTGTTCTTAGAACTGATGTTGGCTAGTCGTATAATTTAGATTTCCAAAAATTGAATTAGCTTTTTTAGGATTTACCCGAAAATTAGTTCTTTTGAACTTTGCTTATCGTCAGTCACCACTCACCAGTACCAAAAATTAACGTTTTGTAATGACTCGTTAAGCCAGCACTCTGTTCACCTCATTTTTTCGTTAAAGCGTTTAGCTTTATGAGTTCCAGGTTCAGTGCTCTGTAGCCTCACTTACTTTCAGCATGCCCAATAAATGCTGTTCGATCTCTGTGTACTTGGAGCATGTAAAAATTAAGGTTGTTTAGGATGATTGAAATTTCTAACCGAGCCCATTCTTTGGAATGCAGGCGGAGAAGAATAAGGAGAGACTTAAGCAGGTATGACTTTCACTCTTTTGCTCTTTAATATACCACTTTGGTAATGAAACTTTAGCATGCATTAGGAGTGAAATTCTTGGTGTGTCTCGGTCAATTCCGAATTCATTTATGTGTTCTTTTATCCAATAAATTCAGGCATGCTTCTAGTCTTACTGTGTCTTGTTGCTTGCAGCACCCTTGGTACTACTTTCTATTTTCTCTGGATGAGCTGAGCTCTGTATTTCTCCGCCTCTTTTGTAACATTGAATCTGTTCATTTCTTGTGCGGACTATTTCTTGTGGCATTATTGCTTGTTGCTAGTCATTCTCTTGTGCTCGCATTGAGGAGTTTTAATTACCTGAGCAAATTGAACACAAAAGTTATCTGTACCGTAATATTTAAGGTTGAGGATTCAGGTAACAGTCAAGCAGTCATGAAGGACTAGCTCTTCATGTGGGAGTCCTTTATGCAACATTGAGAAATGATTCGCATGTTTCCTTGTAGAGCTTCAGTTCTTCGACTGTAGATTATCCATCAGGGATATAGATTTATGAAACAGAAAATCAAGCACATCGTGATTAGATACGTATGTTGGTATATATTTCTGCAATGATCTGCGTTTTAGTCGTGATCAACTTCATCTATAAGGTCCTGACACTTTGTTTTGCGTGTACTCAATTTCATAACCTTTCTGCATCCTTTTTCCTAGGAAACTTTTGAATTTGAGTTGCTTCTGGAGCCAAATGCAATAACTAGTAGCAATTCAAAGAAGTTCTTTTGTAATGATTGATTTGAGACTTAGAGTAAAACCATTCCAGTATGAGAGTACCCAAATTGACGACCAGATACATGTAATCAATTCGTCAATAATTGTCTTTAGAACTTTTTTCCACCACGTATGGAACTCCTCCAAATTTGATTTTTCCTGACCTTTTTTTTATTCTTTCTTCCTTTTTTATAAGGTTACGCAGTCATATCTATATATGTAAATAAATGTATTCTTCTTGATACATGCTTAGGCATCCTCGATATAAGGTTTCCGCACACATTGAGTTAAAGCTTGGAAGTTTTGCAGATATCTTGCTGACACTTTGCTTGTATGAAAGAGAAGTTCTGCCTCTTTAAACCACCATGTGCTATGTTAATGTCAAATGTAAGGGTCAGGGAGGTTGAAAAAAGAGATTCACTACAGCTTTGCCATTTAGGGGTTGCTATGCAACTTGCCCATCAGATGAAAGATATAACCTCACTGTTCGATAATTTTTCAGTCAGAAGGTTATTTTCTTCAGATCTTGGCACTTGGACAAGATCAAGGCTCTTGTTTTTTTTTCTCTCTTCTCCTTTTTAAAGCAGTCGTTGTGATTCCTTAAACTAAGATCAAGGCTCTTTGCTTTTTCTTCTCCTTTTTGAAGCAGTCCTTTGTAATGTCTTAAAGTAAGATCGTGGCTCTTTTCTTGTTAAACTAAGATTGAGGCTCTTTTCTTTCTTTTTCTTCATCTTCTTCTCTTTTAAAAGAATCCTTGTGTTCTGAATGGGGAGATGGAATATGGTCTATAGGACTAATAATAGAGAAGCTGATGTACTTTAACAATCTATCGGGTGCTCTGGTGATCCCACATGCAATCTGAATCTGTTTTTATCTAATTCTTCCTGCGTGAAATCCTGAATCTGATTCTGATAGTCCTCATGTTGATTGCTAGTGTTGCTTACCTTTTAAAAGAGAAGATAAGAAAAGATAGTCCTAGTGTTCATCACTGGCGTTGCATTGTTCTTTTGTTATTTCAGCAGAACTTGTTACTGGAGACATCTTAAGATGTTAAACTTTGAAGTTAGATATCTTTTTAATCAGAAAAGATATGTAAGAGAAAAGGAGAGATATTAAGAAGAAACGAAATAGGATTAGGGTGAAAAGTGGAAGAGCTGGAGGGTTGACCCAACTGAGGATAAATCATTTCAATTTAGGTTCGACTATCTTAATCTTTTCGTTTATTTTTGTGGAGGCAGTTACGGGGTTTTATGGGGAAAAGAAAGCGCAGGGTCTTAAAGAATTACACCAAATTGTGCCCTGCTGTCCATTATCTTGTATGGACGTCTATATCAAATTCTAGAGATTCATAAATTCCTTTTTAAGCCCTAGTTTTGAAAATGAATTTTTGTACATTTAACTTTATGTTTGTAGTCTGAAAAAGATGTGGTAGGAGGTGCTTTCAGTTGATGGATTGTATCCTTGTAATCTCTTGGTAACATATACTTTCTGAACAAGTGAACGTGGGTCCACCTTTGATCACTTTTCATGTTATTTCCGTGCAGATTATGGAGAACCTCATACCAGTCGTAGAGAAACGAAGACCACCAAGAGTTCTGCGGAGAGTTCGATCTATGAGCTGGTAGGTCTGTCTTAAATGATCCTGAACCAATTGATGTCAGAATCAATGGTTGTACTGCTACTGGAGCTGCAGGAAAGTTGGAGGAAGAGGTTTTTCTGATTACCAGAAGAGTTTAGGCCGTACATAGTCTGCAGTCAACTTTTTAGGTGACGGAACTGCTAAGAGCCCATCTCCAAACTGAAGATGACGAAGGCTGCAAAGTTCTTTCATGAATATCATGTGCATGAATGAGATTTATGTAAGCATTAGGCTTATGCTTGGCTAGCTTTTTATAGTTTGCTGACGTAGTAAAAGAATATACTGTACTTTAGCTTCCGCAGGCATATCATGCTGGTTGCAGGGAAGGTTGATGAACGTGGACTTTGTTTATACTAACTGATGTGTTTTTTGGAATAAGAATTTGTCTTGTGAGTATTATGTTCCAAGTTTTTAAGTTCTGTTGTACTTTAACTGGATTAGCGACGATGGATTTAGTCATTGAATCAAAAGCCCTTTTTCTCTGTGTCTTGCAGTTGATTTAAGTAGATTGAGAATTTGTTGGTGGAAAGAAGTGCATTATGCCCTCTTTTCTTACCCCAACTGAGAGGGGTTGAAAATTAACAGAGGGGTAATCAGTAATCACAAATGAGGGAAATGATCACTCCTCCAACCTGCCCTTTTTAGTCCCAACAAAACCCACCTTGTTGGTAGACTTCTGGAGAAAAGGCAGTGCTAGAGTGATAGGCTTCTTGGCTTAGTACCGGCGGAATTATAACCGCTTTCAAAATAATAGTCGAAAAAGATACATTTTGTATGCTATATGCTAAAATTATACAAATTTTATATACTTGTTCGACTACCGAGTATATATAGTGAAAAAAGCTCAATACCCACTCCCTTCCCCAAATTGACTCCAAATATTAATAAAATTGACTTGTGATAGAACAGCTTGGAAGTAGTGCATTTTTAGCAGTTTAGGGTTCTTTTCGTGGATTGTCATATTTGTAGTGGATTTGGAAGTGTCAAACTATCAAACTCAACTCCTATTATTGAATTGTGTGGTCATTTTATTTAAAAGTTTGAGCAGTTAGGGCATGACGGCTGATTCAATTGCGCTCTCTACTTAACTGTTGCACGACTTCTTTCCTATTTATTACCCTTCTTTCTACTGCCTATTTTGGATAGAAGAGTAAGACTGCTTATGACCCCGTTTGGCCATGAGTTTTGCCAAAATAAATTTAGAATTTATTTTCAAAATTCATGTTTGGCCATAAATTTTGCCCATATTTTGGCCAAATCCCAAATCCCAAATTTTGGGCCAAAATCCCAAAACTTGGGAATTATATACATGTTTTTCCAAAATAAAGTTGGAAAATATGTTTTGAAAACGTATGTCCAAACACATTTTCATCTTCAAACCAAATTTCACCCAAATAAGATTTTTCAAAATAAATTTGGGATCTATGGCCAAATGCTAGCTATGTATCATTTTCTATCGAAAAGGAAAAACCGTCTGCTTTTTTCTCAAAGCAAGTTTACACTGACCACAGTAGTGCCATACGTTATAATTTGATTCACTCTCCCTTCTCTCTTGAGTCTTGAATAATAAAGTTCACATTGATCCATGCATATAACCACCTCTCTTTGGTTTGTAACACTTATTTCAGTTAATACTTTTTGTTCTTAATGTGTTCAATTATATAACCACTTTCCAAAGATTCAAATTGCTAGAAATACGGTATGATACACTTAACTCGTCTTAGATATAGAAGTTTTATCGCCAGTGTGTAGTAGTTCTTTTTTCTTATGCCAAACATGTCAAAATATTTGTTGGAGAGTAATGTGGAAATATCTCAAAGCCAAGATTTGCTCTCATATCATGTTAAAGTGTAGTTTCTGGAAACTTACTTTGTCATAGAGGGAAAATTATTATTGCTTTAAGTCAGCAATATTATCAGTGTCACACACTTCCAAAAATATGGCGGGATCCAGAATTACCAACCTTCAACAACACTTGTAAGCCGAAACAAATTGCATCATTTCTGACAAAGTCAATCGGAGAATTTCAACAATTCAAAGATTTAAAAGCGAACGAGTTGACTGTTAACATAATGAAGATTTTAATTTCTCTCTTATCCTTCTGCTCTGATCCTTAACTTTCCACCAATAATTTTGAATGTAAAACATGCATACCTAAACTCATTTTGGTAGTCATTAGTTCAGCGTACTTCACAAATATAAAAAAAGACGGAGAACGCCAAGTTTTATTAACTACTCATTAATTGTCTAAGATATTAGTTAACTCTATAAACCATAAATTAAAATTCATTATAGTCATGCTCCAATTTGCCAATTTTTATGTGCCTTGCTCCAGGCTGTTGTCACATGGAATTCTAACCCCCTCTAGGTAGCAAGGTTAGGACTTTAGGAGGGACCAACAATTACTGCTCAAATTTAATGTGCAACCCATCTTATTGACATGTGGGATGACTTCATGCTGCAAACATGTGAATCTGGCAGAAGATAATTAATTATTTAATGAGCGTCAGTTTGAACGAAAAAGCAAAGAAAATAAATGAAGACAATAAAACAAGGGTGTCAACTTCAGCATAAATTGAGGTAAGGTATATAAATTATTGATGTAACATGAAATATTCAGGAGTTGCTTTCTTGAGTATTATGTTGCCCAGTGCAGAGGCAACAATCCAACATCCATTGACAGTAAATGTCCCAGATAAGATGTAACTTAACCTGCAGATATTGTAACATGACAAGAATTCCAAATTGCAGAGACCAGTTGCCTTATTTCTTCAGCCAAAATATAGAATGGGAATTGCAATGCATAAATATAGTAAACCAAGTAACTGTATCAAGTGAGGCTAAAACAAATATAAGTATGACTGACTGCTGCAAAGGTAACAAAGGAGTAAATTCAATTCAGAACCTTTTACCAAGTGACTACTATGGGCAGCCCGGTGTACTAAGCTCCCACTAGGCGAGGTCCGGAGAAGAGCCGGACCACTAGAGTCTATTATATGCAACCTTACCCTACATAAGAGGTTGTTTCCATGGCTCGAACCTGTGACCTCCTGCCCACATGGCAGCAACTTTACCAGTTACGCCAAGGCTCCCCTTCGTATCGAGTGACTACTGTGGATTCACTATAATCAAATTGACAAAGAAAGACTCCACTATCACACTGAATGCTGCATGCTTAAGATATGCTGAAGTGCAAGGGTATATATCACTTGATTACTGCTGGAAAGAAATAGCTAAGACAACTCACAGATACAATCACACAAACAAGAAGGTGGTAAAATAGGCTAAAATCTTGCATTTCTTACTGCTAAAATTCTATATACATAACTTCCAGTCTTTCCGTTAATGGATTCTAGTTGAGAGTGCACCATGTAAAGATGGAAATCTCTGCCGGGCCAAAATGACTGTTAGATGAATTTCTGTACATGGCACAAAACAAATGAGGATTTGGTAGAACATACTACCTGAAAGATACGCCTTGCTCTAAAATAAATATCACATGAAAAGAGAATAAGGCCAATTGAAAAGACATTATGAACTTGAAACTGTTAATTCTTATCTCAAGCTCAAATTTCTATGTCATTGACAGATACAAGGATTGCTGCCTTATTCATCAGTTAATATGCATGTCACCAAGGAGATACAACAAATAAATAGCTTCATATAATAAAAGTATAATCATGACAAAACACCATCTCCACCCCCTCCCAGAGAAAGGAAAAAAATGAAAAAATAAACCATCACAATGCAGAAAAATGAAAAATGGAAACTGGTTTTACATATGGTATAGTACATACAAACTGTTACCTGCTTAAACCATAGTTGCTAGATATTTTTTTCCTTTTTTACTTCCTTAATACCAGCATAACCAAAATAGGGATGTATATGAAATTCCATTTTGTTAGAAGTTGTAGGACAACATAAACGCTAAGGCTGACTTGCACTTCCCAGGAGTTCAAGACCCTCGGCCCGGCAACTCATAATTTTTCTAAATACTTCCTTTAAATGGCGTTCTAGTGGATCAAGACCAGTCTTTAGAACTTCACAGACTGCTGATAAATCTTGACCGCCCACTTTAACTTCTTCCATCTGATCGTCTGTCAACGGTAACTGAGCAGAGTCTATCAAGTCAGTCAATTGATGGACACATTTCTCAAGCTGATAAATTTCCTTCAACAATCCATTTGAATTGCGGCGTTCTGGCTTCTTAGCTTCATCCATTATCCTACCATGAAGCAACCAAAGGGGATTGCTCCATGAAAATTGCCTTGGGATAGTAAAATGAATTTGTAGGCTTCGATCCTGACAAGGGACTGCAGCAACAAGGACCCACAGTACAAACAGCAGAATAAAGTTCATTGTAAATATAAGGCTCGCTATCCCATTTGTTGCAGCTATTTCATTTCCACGGGGAGCAACCAAGTGGCTTGCAATTGTCTGGAGCTGTTTAGATGCTGACCAAGATTGAGACACGCTCCAAGATAGAGATCTTGAGTGCCCAGAAGGACGACGCTGGTGATCCTTGGTCTTATTATGGCGTCCAAAAGAACGGTTCCTCTGAGAAAAAACAGATCCAGCTTCTTTCTCTTCTAGCATCACAAGAGCCAAATCCATCAGACTCTTTCTAGTCCGGCGGAGCTGACCTTCGCCAATCATCTTTTGTCGAGAATCCAATGCGGAAACCACAATTTCCAAATGCTTATGCCAGAGACGAATCTTACCAATCCCATCACGGGCTGCATTGCAAATATCAAGTGCTTTTATAGTTCTATCAAAGTAGTCAGACAGAAGCTTATCTTGAGGCGATTTCAAGAGGAGTTCCTTATTGTTGCACAAGAGGATTCTGAACTCTTCCTGACAACTGGTAAACGCATCTAGCAACTTGCGAATCCATGCAATGGAAAGGAATTCATCAGCAGAAGCAACCGACAGTTCCTGAAATCGAGTGGACACTAGTTTCTGAAATGCTTCCTGCTCAATCTCCTGGACATTAGAATCATGGTTCAACTCCAGGGAATGAACCTGTTGTTCACTTCTAATACTCAAAATTGAACGACGGAATGAGGCAAACGGCATCGAAGAACCATGACTGTCTGAAGAAGGCATTGTAATCCAATATACAAAACCTCCTCAGAATCTATTTCTATACGCTAAATAAAACCTCCTCAGAATCTTAAAATCAGCTCAACTGAGAATTAAAATACCTTCAACCACTGCAATTTACATAATACCAAACAGGAAAAAGACCAATCAGTTGACAAAACAAAAAAAAATGGATAAAAAACAGCATTTCCAGGTCCCCATATTGCAATCCCAAAATTTCAAAAAGAACACAAAAACAGAAACAAGATTACACACCATAATTCAGCAAAAAAGCTAAGTACTATTAATAAGGACCTTTTTAACCGTTTGAACGGTTACAATTCCGAAACAAAACCAAAACCCACCTCAAATTCAGACAGGGAAATAACAGAAACCTCAAGAACATCGAATTTCATGCATAAAAACAGCAAACCCAGATCAAATTCAATACCCAGAATTAGATCCTAGGCAACAAACTCCAAAATTCTCCAAAAAGACCGTATGAACAAATGGAATGAATTTTTTTTAAAAAGAAATGAAACGTAAGAGAGGAGAAAAAGAATATAATACCTATGAAGAGCTAGCTGGACATGTTGAAGCAGAAAGAGGAAAAAGAAGAAAGGGAACATATATTGAACCCTAGAGCCTTATGGACATGAAGGCCCCTTTGCCTTTGCTGTTGACACTAAATTTTGGGTTGCAAATCGAGACGTATTTAAGAAGCAAATGAGAAAAAGCAAAACCAAAAATATAGTAAAAGCATGATTTCTTGATTTACGAACAAGAATGTTTTTGGGTTTTTTTGCGTTATGGTGGTTGCAATTTGGTTCCTATTGTATTTTAGCCCTTAGACTTTTGTATTTGTTGTTTTGTCTTTCATTTCCTTTTTCTTTTTTCTTTTCTTGTGCTATTTTAAGTTTTTAGCCTTTATTCTCTTTTTTATATTCTCTTTGTTATAAAACAATAAAAGAAGAAGAAGAGTATTGCAGAGAAAAATAGAGGGAGAGAATTCTTATTGATTATAGGGAGAGGGTGACTTAGCCACCAAGTAATAAACCCTAGAATCTCTCTAAATATAGACATTCACCTTAAATAGAATTCTATTTATAACACTCCCCCTTGAATGTCTATTCAACAGATAATGTGCCTCATTAAAACCTTGACTAAAATAAAACCCAGTGGGAAAAAAATTCTAGAGAAGGAAAAAGAGTACACATATCTGCAATACGCCTTTTGGTTGCCTCGTTAAAAACCTTGCAAGGAAAACCCAGTGGGACAAAACCTTGTAAGGGAAAAAGAGTACAACGCGTATTAACTCCCCCTGATGAGAGCATCAATTCACATCCTTAAGCATTTGCATTCCAATCTTGTGCACCATCTTCAAAAGATCTCTTGAACGAATTTGTTTCACCTTGAAATCATCATTCCTATAGATGTATTGTCTTCATATGATCTTGTTGGAATCGTCCGTTCAATATCTTCACATAGAGGTGAACACTCTTGCTATCATATTATCATGCATATAGTTATAGCTAGATACATTTGTGCACAAATTGCACTGATGAAGTGGTACTTCAAGATCAAGAATTGTATATGCTTCAAGCAACTTAAATCCTTCATGGATTGTCATATAAGTTAAGTCATATAAGCCATATAAATAAACTTTAGATTTGTATCAAATTTTCATGTCATGCCAGACATATAAGATACATAAAGGTGATAGCACACACCATTGTCTTTATACTTTTAAGTGTTTGAACTACAGGTCCAAAACTACTTGTCATTCATATGAAACCAAATTCCACTTGAATTGTTTCGCCAGACTTAAGAGCCTCATATATATTTAGTGCTATAATCAATGTCGTCGACAAACATTTTATATCAGTTTCAATATTTTTTCATAAAGACATAACATAGAGATCTCTTCATTCATATTTTCAGGTACCTGAATCTCTCATGAGATTTTATGAAGTGTTATGTCATGTGATCTTCTAGATCATTTGCCTCCTTATTATGATCATTTTGATCATTTGCTCATCTTCTTTATCAAGAAGTTTATTTGAAACCGATTTGCCTATATGCTTTAAGCGTACTATAGACTTTATCCTTCTAGGACTTAATATGAGCATTTGCAATGAGAATATAGTTACTTTCTTTGGGTCAGCAAATGCGTCTGGCATGCTTTGCAATATATTGCAAATGAATTATCCTTTTATGAACTTCAAGTTCATATTATTTTATTCGGGGATCTAGATGTATAAATGATAATTCATTCCATGTAACTTTTTCTCAACTGTTGTATCTTGTCTCCCCCTCATGTTAGAAAAACTAACTTGTTTCCTCAACTTTGAGAAACCATCTTTGTGCGTTATGGTGTTAATCAAAATATACACCGCACATCAATAATAATAAGATGGAATTATTTGGTTCCTGACCATGAACCACTTGTGAGGGAAGAAATTAATATACTTTCGTATATAACGTATATCAAACTGATATATAAAACTTTGTTCTCATAAGCAATAGTTTAGCTATTAAGTAGAGGCACTTAATAAATTATTTTGCTAAACGAACTGTGATGTAAACCAATTTATCAAGATGAACTTCTTGAATAAAAAATCTGGAAATTATGCTCGAAATTAAATTATTGAGCAAGTTACCTCGCAAAACACCATGTTGCGGGTTAATAATAATTGCACATGTAACCATCTCATAGATGCATCTTATGTGGTATACATGGCAAGTGAATGGGCCCATATTCACCTTTGATATTTCCAGCATTCATGGGATTCAATCCCAATTTTAATTGGTCTATTAATTAATGAGAACAAGCAATATAAGAGAATTCGTAAAGAACTTTCTAGTTCTTTAATATTTACCCATGTGAATTCTCTATTATTTTTGCACATCATACATGAATTAACATGGCTAAACCAAGTATGCCAACTGGATAAATTATCAATATTGATAAACTTCAGGTTTACACCATGATGTGTGCAATTATGAATAAACTCCAAGTTTATTATGATAAGGGTTTTTATATCAATAAATATCCACTTCATTGTGGTATTACTTTGTTTATGTAGTACAAATTGGAGAATAAAGCGGGTAGTTTTTCACATACATATTACCCCGCTACAAGATGTAGTAATAGGAGATATTAAATCTTTCCTTTATTTATAGTCTCAATATAATCAACCGCTTTCGCGTATACTTTGGAAACTGAATAAGTTTCTTTGAGACTCACTACAACACAATACCTTATTGGTAATCAATTGTGTTTCTCCAAAATAGTAATAATTGGCTCTTCCAGAGTTCTCAATTAATTTGGTACTACCACATATTTATCAACATCCATATGGTGAATATCTCTTTTAAAGAGAAAGTTATACCATTATCGTTATGGTCAAAATTATATGCAAGATCTGTTTCTTGCATTATTTTTGACTTTTAATAATCACAATGCCAAAATATTTTGGCGTACAATAGGTGCGTGACCAATGACCATGCATGCCATAATAATGATAATATTTTCTTATATCATCTCAAACCTCCTTCTAGAGGTGAGTGTGGTATATACCACTAGCACGCTCATATTCTTCCAAAAATGAATATGTATTCTTAAATCAGATGTTATCACATTCACATCATGAATGGACCATAATCATCTATATGTACTTTATAAAATCTCATGTCAAATCGATGACAAATATTTTCACAAAGTGGGGGATTATTTTGAGAATTCTTATTATTCTCATTATCACAATGATGACGATTATACTTTCGTCTATTGCCACGTCCACATCCATTGATACATTCATAGTGAAAATATTGTCTTCTTTCAGACTTATCACATACTGCTATCACATTCTATTAAGGGAATGAGAATGGAGCAAATTCAATGGGACGTGTTTCCACTTTTTGTGCCCATAATCACACATGAATTTGATCATGGCAAGACATAGAAATTTTTACCACTTCAGGTGGTTATAATTTCTTACAAACTCCATTAGAGTTATAATCAAATTTTATTGTCTTTGCTTGTATATAAAATCAAACTATAGAATTTCAAGAATTTAAAAGAGAAAAATAAAGTAAAATACTTACCTTAAATCCAGAATTTAATCATGAAGGAAGTTCATGGAATAATTGACAATCATTATGCTCAATCCCAAAGCTTCTACTCAATTGGTTAGAGTGTCGTGCTGATAACGTGCTATAAAACAATAAAAGAAGAAGAAGAGTATTGCAGAGAAAAGTAGAGGGAGAGAATTCTTATTGAATTTTGGGATGAATTACAATGTAATAGAACCCTCTATTTATAGGGAGAGGGTGACTTAGCCACCAAGTAATAAATCCTAGAATCTCTCTAAATATAGACATTCACCTTAAATAAAATTCTATTTATAACACTCTTTGTTTATTCTTCTATTTTAAGATTCTTACAATTATATCACCATTCATCTCGGTTACAATTGTTTGCTTCCTTCTTACTCCATTTCGCATCTTTCTACTTCATTATTACATGTAAAAGGAAGAGAATATAACCTAAAACAACATAGCAGAAGCATGATAAAGAAATTTAATATCTAATATATATATATATATATATATATA